TGGATAATATTCAGCTAGCCTGATAAAGGTGATTATAATATCTATACAATAATATTAAGCTGTCCCACTAGACCAATTTGTTAAACGCCCCGGCTTTATGGATTCAGCTAGCCAGACAATGGCAAATACTAAATAAGGAGTTTCTGTAAAAATTGACTAAGGGAGTTAAGGAACACCTATTATAGTCAATTTCACACGAGCACTTAAGAATTTCATTTTTAGACCGATATTTTCACACTGCCTTTGTTAGAGGAGCCTACAAAGCTTGAATAAATGGAAGATTTCAGAGGACCAAAATAGAAGGTCTAGTAATTGGTCATGCTAATTGTGCCATTTTATCAGTATCCAATTAAAATGCCATGGCAATCAGTGACCGAAAAATTAACATTTTTTATTGAAACCTTAGAAAATAGAAGTCCAACATAAAACCAACTCATCCATTTGAACATTTGTCAAAGAGCTATAACTCTAAAAAAATGAAAGAGCTATTGATTCTTTTGATATTCTTTGAATTCATGTTTATGATTTGATTCGATTGCGAGCCTGAATTAAAAAAAAATTATAGAATTATTATATTTTCTTTTTCATCTCCTAAAATAAGAGAGAGGAGAAAAATATTTTCAAACAAGACAGTCTCAAATGTGAAAGTCTGCAACCCAAGAAGAAAATGAGGCATGGTCGATTCCGAGTACAAGACCAACATACAAAATAAGGCTCCATTTCGAAGATAAAATAGAGCCAATTCATGTTGCATGCATTTTAGGCATACTTAAAAGCATCACATTTGTTATTTTTTTCACATACATAATATTTTGCAGTTTTTAGAGTCAAGTTTTGACTTCATGACGGAAGATACTCGGTTTAAAAGCACCTACAAAGATTGATGGTGGTTGCTTAACTCAACAGTGAGAAGTTACGCCTCAACCGACTTGACATATCTACAGATTTCAGAATCAATTTCAGATGGTTTTGAGAGCCAATTCAGAACGAATCCAGTCCAGCTTAACTCAGTAATGAGTAGCAGGTTTTCAATTAACATTTTCAAGCCAGATTTCAATTCCACAATGGAAGATATCTTGGTGACAGAATTTATCAGTGGGCTTTCCCATGAAGGGGAGTCATCCAAAAATCATATCACTTGGTTCAGACCCGCTCAAAGGAACCACCTGAAGAATTATGACTGGCTTAGACCCGTGAAGGGAAGCCATTTTTTTAAAGAAACTATTGGTACCATAACTCAAGGCAAGAAGGGTTATCTGCCAACCAAAGACCTTCGAGTTCGATTACGCTCAACTTCGAGGGCATATTATTTACATCATAACTTAAGGCTAGAAGGGTTATATACCAACAAAGACCTTCGAAGTTCGACTATGCTCAGCTCAAAGGCACATCATTTGCAGCATAGCTTAAGTCGAGAAGGGCTATCTGCCAACCAAAGCCCTTCGAGTTTGATTACACTCAGCTTCGAGGGCAAATCATTTGCAGCATAACTCAAGGCTAGAATGGTTATCTGCCAATAAAGACCTTCGAGCTCGACTACGCTCAGCTCAAAGGCACATCATTTGCAACATAGCTTAAGTCGAGAAGGGTTATCTGCCAACCAAAGACCTTCGAGTTCGATTACACTCAGCTTCGAGGGTACATCATTTGCAGCATAACTCAATGCTAGAAGGGTTATCTGCCAACAAAGACCTTCGAGTTCGACTACGCTCAGCTCCAAGGCATATCATTTACAACATAACTCAAGGCTAGAAGGGTTATCTGCCAACCAAAGACATTCGAGTTCGACTATGCTCAGCTCCAAGGCACATAATTTGCAGCATAGCTTAAGTCGAGAAGGGCTATCTACCAAAGACCCTCGGGTTTGATTACACTCAGCTTCGAGGGCACATCATTTACAGCATAACCCAAGGCTAGGAGGGTTATATGTCAACAAAGACCTTCGAGTTCGACTACGCTCAGCTCAAAGGCACATCCTTTGCAGCATAGCTTAAATTGAGAAAGGCTATCTACCAACAAAAGACCTTCGAGTTCGATTACACTCAGCTCAGAGGAAAATTACATTTACAGCATAGCTCAAAGCAAGAAGGGCTATCTGTCAATAAATTTTTCGAGTTTGATTCCATTCAGCTCGATGACACCTCATTCACACTACTTGCCTGTTGCAGTAAAGGTTTTCAAGTTGAGAAGAAGACTTGGGTTAGTCGTGCCTTAGTGAAAAAAAACTATTTTCCGGCAGCACAACTTAAGTCGAGAAAAGCTATATGTCAACGAAGTCTTTTCGAGTTCGGTTTCATTCAGCTTGAGGGCCTATCAACCACGGGACGGAGTCAAGGAACTACTTTCCAGTCAAATTTTAACCAAGGTCTTTAAACCGAGAAGAATACCTAAGGACAATAAGAAGCCATATTCTGATTCAAATTCTGAACTACAGTTTCAATTCCATATCATTTCAAGATGGACTCGACTTCGCGATGGGGGAGCCATCCGCAGCTCAATTAAACAGGGAGTTATTCTTATACCAGAGTCAATTTTTCAACCCCACTGAGCGAAAAATTGTGTCATTTTATCTTTGTCCTATTTTTCGTTCCACGGAAAAGGACAAAGAGGAGCAACTGTAGACACAATTTTTCGTCCATAGTATATAATATATATATTATGTTCAAACTATATTATATATTACAAATATATATTAATTTATTTATTATTTTGTTTACAGGACCAAACCCAATGACCCAAACTACACGTGACCCAAGTGGCCCAGCAAATGCAACACCCAACCAGAGGATTGGGGTTTTTAGAAACCTTAAGTATACCGCATCCATCAACACCCCTTCTGCCCGAAGACCCACAGTCGAGTCTCTCGCCCCACGCAACCACCGCCGGTTTTCTCACCCATCACCAACGCCACGCAAGGGAGATGAACAACAAAAGCAACCAAAGAGCATTTTTGAATAGGACTCTAAAAATAGCTCGCTTTTTTCCATTATAAATACATGTAATCCACATTTGTAATAGGAGATGGAGATGGGAAGCATACACGATTTTACAATGGAAATACGAGAAATATACGAGCAAAATCCCACAAATATTCAGAGCATTCGAAGTCTTTTTTTTCTCTGCAAAAAAAATTTTGAAAGGAAAGTTAAAGGTAAAGAACTCACCTTTGTGAGATTTTTGAGCTTGCATGTTAGTTTTGTACCCCTTTATCTTCATTTTTGATTCGAAAAACACCATATAAAATGAGTTTTGGCCGATGAACAGGAAAAGTTTCCGAGATCTATCTTTGTAGATCTAGCAATCCCAAGGTCGATTTTCAAAAAAAACTATTCAGATATTTGAAATAATGGGGTCGGGAGATTTTTAAAAAATCAAATTTTGTTTAGGTTTACCGCCGACCGACGGGGGTGCTACGGTGGTCGATTTTCTGGGTTCATTGAAACCCACGGTAGTGATCATCCCAAAGGATGAACAATGGAAAGCACTTCATTTTAAGGGATGCTTTTGTTTTTGTGAGAAGAGAGAAATGAGAATTAAGCCATGATATTGGCTTATATACTGACTCAACCCGACCCAAGTGGATCCCGTGTGTTTTTAAAAGAAAATGGGGAAATCCCCGATTTGGTCCCTCTGAATCTTCTGTACATTTATTTTGACCCCTAATTTTGTTTCCCTTTTAATTTAATACTTTTATTTATTTTTTTATGTATTTTTATTTTATTTCTCATTATTTCTTATACGATATATATATATATATATATTATTTTTTATTTTATTTTAATCCTTTTATTATTCTTTTTATTTGTTCATTTTATTTTATTTTATTTTATTTTTTGTTTTAATGTTTTGTTTAAACGTTATTATATATATATATTTTCATTTTTTTATTATTATCTAATATTAACGTGTATATATATATATATTTATATATATATATATATTATTTTTATTATTTATTTTTTCTTTATTATTATTATCATTATACCTACTCTTTTTTATTTATTTATTTATATTTTTTATTTTATTTTTATTATTATTTAATATTATATTATATACCTACAATTATTATGACTACCTATTTTGGGCCCCTCCTTTTTTTTCTTCAACATATCTCTCTCTAACCATGTTTGTCTTGCTTTTCGGTGAATTGATAGGTTATGTTTATTGTTTTATTATTATTTTTCCATGTGTCTTTCTTTCATTATTTATACTTATTTTATTTAACACTATATTATATGTTTATATTAATTTTTTTATTATTTTTCGTTTATTATTTTTTTTTGTTTTATTTTTATTTTTGTTTCTGTTTTATTTTCTATTTAATTCCATTTTTTCTTTTATTTTTATTTTATTTCTTTTTTTGGTTTTGTTTTTTTGTTTTGTTTTTATTTTATTTATTTTATTTTGTTTTTATTTTATTTTTATTTTTACTTATTTTATTATTATTTTTCTTTGTCGTTCCGTTTATTATTTTCATATGTGCGCACTTTCTGTCTTAATTCGATTCTATACTTCCCTACAAATCTAACATTTTTTAAAGGGTATTTCAATCGATCAGAGGTAAGTAACTTGGATCTTATTTTACCTTTAAATTTAACTTTCAATTTTCTTAATTAAAGACAACTAAAAATTACGTAGTACCGAAAAGGCAGTTCAAGAGTGCTAGCCCTTCCTTGACTGTAACCGACTCCCGAATCTGACACATCTTTGGTAAGACACAGATCATGTAAGAAATAAGGTATCCGATCAACCCATTTGTTTTAAAATAAATGATCGGTGACAACTCCAATTCGTTTAATCCAAGTCGAAGCCCAATTCAAGACCTACCCGAAAGACGGTTCTGACACCTACTTAACCTAAAATTCGATGGCGATTCTAATTCAAATTTATCAGAAATCATAATTTTCCTAAAATAAATTCATAATTATTTTTAAATTTAATTTTTCGTTTAAAAACGTTATAACAACTATAATTATCAAACTGATATTTTTTTACTATAAACTACAGTAATTTTTATATATTTGACACCAAGGTTACCTTGGGTACCTGGTTGAGAGATAAACAGCAATACAGGGAGAATCACTCCACAAATTAGAGTGCAATCTAAGTACTCCTCTGGCTTTCTGTTTCAGATACGTTGGACAATCTGCTTGATTCACCATGCAAAGCTTTGTCACTGCCCCAACCCTCAACATCTCCAAAAGCACTTCTTTCGTTGCTGCATTTTTCGATATGAATGAAAGTATGCAAACCGCTTGATCGTCAGTCGCCGGCAAAACTCTTAGGATCCTTTTAGCCACCATTGCTATGCTTCCGGCATGCCGAAGAAACTCGGCTCTACCTTTGGCACATGAACATAGATGTGCCAATAGGTTGAAGATCAGTTCCGATATGTTCTTTTCAGGATTCTCGAGTTCTAATTCGATGAGCTCGAAGATCGTATTGGCCTCGACGAGTTTCGATTTATTTCTTCCCAAAAGGCATATCTGGATCAAGTTCTGCAATGCGGATTTGGTCGCTTGTTGAGAAATTTTCAGTTTCAGTACTCTTAGCATTTGCTTAACGAATTCAGGTTTCAATTTTTCCAACAACCTCGTGTTCGCAGCCTCTATCACTCGTTTTACTGCCTGCATTGCGAGTGTCTTGATAACGACGTGATTTTCAATCTCGATCTCTAGAATCCATGTTAAACAGTTGATGAACTGGTGATTTTCGTTCAAAAGATCGTTGATTTCACTGCATGGTGTCCAAATTTTACACAGAATCCTCAGAGCTTGTTCAGCACCCACGGTTTTGTTCTCTTTGTAACATTTTATCAGCAACAAAATCAAAGCTTTGGCAACTCCAGCTTCCTCTATAGACTTCTTGTTCCTTTCAATGTCCTTTGCCAAGACTTCCAATTTGTTCAAAGCATTTACATACAAACCAGGAACCTCGAATTCACGAATTAATTTAAGAAGAGTCTTACAGAGAGGAGATTTCGTCATCGTCGGAACCTTATCGACACCACCGTCGCCATCATTCATCGTACACCAAGCCTGAATCAACCGCCGGAGTGTGTGGTTTGGCGTTAAATCAGAACCGGACGGCAAAACCTGCCTTGTTACAGGGCAAGTGATGTCCTTGGACGTCTTCAGCCATTTCTCTATGCTCTCTCTGTCGTAAGTAATGCCTGTAACAGCCGTAACAGGATCTTTCATGATTTGTAGCGATATGGGGCAGATGAAATATTGAGGAATTTCAATGTCATCCATTGGCATAAAGATTAAAACTGCAAGAGACTTGGAGAAACTGAAGTTTTCAAGACAAAATGGTAAGAGAAAGCGGCATATATTTGTACATAACAAAGAATAGTTCCAAAGTATATTTCAAAAAGTGTTATAATTTAATGCCTTTCATGCTTTTTCTTCTTCTAGTACTACTCGTTACCAGTCGTAGTTTCTATATAAGGGTTATTCAGTGGTCAACAAATGAGACTGCCACTTGCAGGAAAGGACAGACTACTTTAGCCACTCGGTTTAAAAAAAAATGGGTAAGCAATTCTCTTCCTTTTGTCCTTTCGTGAATTTGTTGTTGTGGGGGTGGGGGGGGGGGGGGTTGGGGTTTAAAGAATTTTTATCCATTGCAAAATTTCATGGACGGTGCTATTTTATTATGGGTAAACTAACACCTAATTATAGACCCTTTTTATTTTGATAACTATTTTTGAATTCTTGTCAATCAGGTTTCTTAACTATTTAAATGTATTTAATAGGTCATTTCCTGTTAACATTTAATAAAAATACTGATGTAAAGTTAATAAAATTGATATAATTACACATTTAGTCATTGTTATTTATATATTATCTCAATTTGGTCTTAAATTAAGTAAATTAAAATAAATTTAATCTTCAAATCAGATCATGCCATGTGTCACTAATATCAAATATCATGACATGTGTCCTAAATTAAGTATTAGTGACACGTGTTATGATATTTGGTATTAGTGACACGTGTCATGATATTTGATATTAGTGACATATGGCATGATCTGATTCGAAGATTAAATTTATTTTAATTTATTAAATTTAGGACCAAATTGAGATAATATATAAGTAACAGTGACCAAATGTATAATTATACTAATTTTATTAATTATCACATCAACACTTCCGTTAAATGTTAACGGTAAGTGGTCTGATTGAATGCATTTAAATAGTTAGGTGACCTGATTGATAAAGATTTAAAAATAATAGTCAAAATGAAAAGGATTAGTAGAGTTTTCTCTGATTTATTATTTGGACAAAAGAGAGGAGAATGGGGCCACGACTTGCCGACTTGGAATGTAATTTGGGGGAGAGAATGCCGGACCAAATCAAACCCATAATAATAATGGCAGGCTGCGTGGAATTCAAACTTATTTTGTCTTTTTTTCCAATGCTAACTTCTCTCTTTAATGTTATTGTGTACCCTAAACGTTAAATTGCCTACTACAAGTCTAGCTTTGAGTAAACTCTTTTGTTATTAGGGATGGCTATAAGTTTAATCCGCTGCTTTATTCATCCGAACGTATAAAGTACCTATTACAAGTCTAGTTTTGGGTAAACGTCGCTTTCTGTTGATTAGATAAAAAATAAGTTAATAGACCACGTTACTTTTTTTTCCTTTCAAAAGTTTGAGGACTTCACTAATAATAAAGGTAAACTAAATAAAAGACCACATAACTAATATTGTTAAAAATGTTTTATCATGGCCATGGTATTCAAAGTTAACTAAATTGTAGTGTTGTAATCATTACATAAAGTTTTAATTTATTTACATAATCTTTTTACAAGTTACGCATACATCCTGACTCGCACTCATATTCCACAAGAGTAACGGGGCATTGAAAGAGGGGGTGAGTGTTCGCATGCCACTCAGCCATTCCTTGAGCTCTCTACTTTACTTTTTTAATGAAATGAAATTTATCATAGCTAGTACTTTTTCTGGCGTTGCTTGTTATTTCATTGTTGTGATGCTTTTTGGTTTTAGAGTTGATGTTGTGGTTTTGTTCTGATTTTGTTAATGAAATTACCTTCAATTAAGATCATAATGGTTAATTCTGGTCAAAATAGTAGGGAAGGAGAAAGTACTACTTCATAGTTCTTGAGAAACAACATATCTTTCTCTAATAAGAAAGTAAATGTGTCGTTAGATGATTTCAATTTCTTGATTTGGAAACAACAGGTGTTGCTTATTGTTCGTTACTTGAACTGTACTTGACGAGGAGCTTGTCGAGCCAGGATGTAAATTGGCAAAATCATTCGTAAGATTTGGGTGGCTCCAGAGTCCTGATACCGTACATTATCATCAAGGATGTCCGGAGAAGCAATAGTGTTGAAGTAAGTCTGGAAGAAGCTACTTGCAGTTGCAGCTGATCACTGCTCATGTGATGTTAGTTGAGCTCATAGCTGATCGTTGCACGTGGAGTTACTGCAGTTAGTTGGTTAGGGTTGTTAGCAGTTGTGTCACTGTATGCATGTATGAACGTTATATAAAGCATGTAAAAAGAAGAGTTAAATAATAAGAAAGAAAGCATTTGTTTCTGATTTCTTGTTGCTTAGTGTAGTTGCTTTTGTCCTCTAAACATGGTATCATTCAATGCTTTATCCTAGGGTTTGCTTTCTCTATTCGTGCTGATATGGATCAAAGTGCCTCTTCTACAGCCACTTCAATGGAGTTTTCTTCAAGAAACACCAAAGTTTTCACCAACAAAAGGGTGAACCTGATTCTTTATGAAGCAAACTTCTTTATTTGGAAACAACAAGTGTTACTCTCTATGAGGAGTCATCGTCTTAAGTGGATGTTGACAGGAACGATGCTACCTCCTCTAGAAACGGTGGTTGGTGAAGAAGGAGTTGCAGCTATCAATGAAGAGTATGAGGAGTTCTTGGCCCAAGATAGTGCATTAGCTTCTTGGATGTTGTCAACGGTCAGTCCTCACTTAATCCCTCATTTTGTTGGTGCTGAAACATCAGCTTAGGTATGGAATAAAGTTTTGCAATTCTTTGCAAATCGATATGCCACTGTTGTAACGAGTCTACATTACAAGCTGCAGTCCCTCAATAAAGGAGGAGATAACATGAGAGTTTATCTTACAAAGGTGAAAGAAGTTACTGATGCATTAACTTCTTGTGGAAGTCCAGTTCCAGTGTCTGAACATGTTGCAAGCATCCTTAAAGGTCTTACAAGGGAGTATCAATCCTTCATTGCAGTTATATCTGCTATGCATGACTCATTGTCACCTGACAACATCTGCACCATGCTCATTGGTGCTGAAACACAGCTTGAGGGCTTTGATTACCAGCCTGAATCTTTACCTCTTAGTGTTAATCTTGCACAAGGAAAGGTAGAATCTGATTCTAATAAGAGTCCAGAAAAGCAACAATATAGATCTAATCATTCATCCTACTCGTGCAGGAGGACTTGTGGCAGAGGAAGAAGTTGACCTAGAGTTCAGTGCAAGTTATGTGGCAAGAATAAACATCTTGTCAGTCAGTGCTGGCATATGTTTGATGAGGATTTCACTGGTATTACACTTTATGATCAAGTGCATGTGGTTGCTGTAATAACAATAGCACATATCATGATAACATAAATGCTGGGAAAAAACAGGCACATTCTGTTTATGCTGGTCAAGATCAGTGGGTGATTGACTATGGTGCAATACACCACGTTACTTCCAATGCAGCCTCGATTACTCATCACACGAATTGTAGCAATCCTGGTAAGTTAATGCTCGTGAATGGTGATTATTTGTCTGTTAATATGGTTGGCAAGGATGAGTTACAAGCTTCATCGCGTACTTTGTCTTTAAGTGACATTCTTCATGTTCCTTCTATAACTAAGAACCTACTTTCTGTTTCTAAACTTGCTATTGATAACCATGTGTTTCTTGAGTTCCATGCCAAAACCTGTTGTGTTCGAGATGAAGACACAAAGGCTGTGTTGGTGCAAGGTGAAGAGTGTGATGGGTTATAATCCTTTAAAGCTAGCAATACTCAAAGTAGAGATGGTGTAGTTAAAGTGCATATTGCCATGACATCCTCCAAGACATCTGAAATATGGCATATACGACTGGGTCATCCTGCCCATGATACCCTTGTTAAAGTTTGTAAACAAATTGATGTAAAAACTCTTCATGATGTCAATAAAAGTTGTGTTGCTTGTCATTTGGGTAAAAGCCATAAGATGTTATTTCCTCGATCTGATAGTGTATATACTGAACCATTTCAGTTTGTTTATTCTGATATGTGGGGTTCTCTACACATTTCCTCAAATGGCTTTCAATTTTATGTGTCATTTGTTGATCCTGCCACACGATTTACATGGTTGTATCTGTTAAAGACAAAGGATGAAGCTGTTACATCATTTAGGTTGTTTCAGAAGTTATTTGCTACACAATTTGATGGGATAGTTAAAGCTCTTCAAACTGAATGGGGAGGAGATGTTCGACCATTGACAGATGAATTAAGAAAGGCAGGTGTTCTTCATCGCCTTACCTGTCCTCATACTTCTGAACAAAATCGAATAGTTGAACGAAAACATAGGCATCTTGTTGAAATGGCTTTAGTTTTGCTTGCTCAAGCTTCCATGCCCATTAAATTCTGGTTATATGCTATTCAGACTACTGTGCACCTGGTTAACAGGTTACCATAAAGAGTTCTGCATGATAAGTCTCCATTTGAGGTGTTGTATGGCAAAATTCCATATTACAGTGGATTGAAAGTGTTTGGCTGCAGATGTTTTCCACACCTAAGGTCATTTTTGAATCATAAACTTGAGTTTTGATCTCAGCTGTATACATTTTTAGGTTACAGCACGCAACAAAAAGGGTTTCAGTGCTTAGCAACTGATGGTCGTGTCTATATTTCTAGGCACGTGGTGTTTAATGAGGATGAGTTTCCTTTTACAGGTAATCCTGGCAGACGTTCTGCTGCAGTTTCGAGTAAAAACCAGTCTCGGTCACTTGAAATAGTCACTGATGTTACTAAGTTCAGGACTTAACAACCTGAAACTCATAGGTTGTCTACAAATGTCAGCATTAGTTCATCAGATAGCTTGCAAATATCAGGTGGTGCTCATGGTGTGGGTGAAACTGAAGTTGTTCATGTTGTTAATAATGAACTGCTTACAGTTGCTACCTATGGCAATAGTGGAAGTGTACAGCATGATATGAGCTCAGAACAACATACTGATAGCATGGCCATAAATGATGTTGCTGGAGTTCAACATGTTGATGACATGATCAGCA